CCCAGGCCGCGCCGCGCAACGGCGGCGCCCCCAGCGGCCCAGGACCAGCCCGGAAGTGGCGGTCTCCCGGGCGGCGCAGGCGAACCGCAGGCGGGTGCGCGAGCGGCGGGGGCGGGCACAGAGGGCGGGGCGCGCGCCGCGGACCCCGGGAATATGCAACCCGCGTGAGACACTGCGCATGCTCGCGGCACCGGGGTTGTCGGAGGTGGTGGACTCGCTTTGGGACACCTGGAGAGATGGGCCCGGCCGGGAGGGAGGCCAGCGCGCCAGGGATTTTACTGCGATTCCTAGCGCCCCTCCTTGGCTCCGTGGTGACCCCGGGTAACGGACCTGGTTGCTAAGGGCGGTGGTGCCGCCTACTGGCGGCGGGAGTTCGCACTCGGGAGTACAGAATTCCCAAGCCCAAGAGAGAAGCTGAGTGGAGGAGTTTGGGGCCTGAGTGTCTCCCCAGGACCTTTCCTCGTTATAAAGAACTACATCACACAAGGTCCTAATCACAACAACCTTCCTCTTTCACTAAACTCACGAAGTGAAAACCACTAACATATTGCATTAACCTTGATTAAACCTAACATATTGATTAAACCTTTCTAAATGCAGCGTTCCTAGGTAGGTTAGAATCCGGCTCCTAGAATCTCTCCTGGCTGTTGACTTTGGCCAAGTAACTTGACTCTTCTGGGCTTCATCTATAAAAGTGGAATGAATAGCAGTACTTCCCTCATGGGGCTGTGGTGAGGATTATGAAATAAAACAAAGTGCCTAGCACAACACATTGTACATAGTTAACTCAAATGATAGCTTTAGTGAATAAATACGCAGGCACTGCCTTAAGAGTCAGGTGGGGGTCCATCACGGGCTGTGTTCTCAGGGCCACCAACCTCTTTGGGGCTCACTTCCCTTTCCATAAAAACAATCATCTCACGGGTCCCTTATAACTTACAAGCTTCTCTGGTTTTAGATCAGCCTCAGAGATCTTCTGGAATCTGACCAATTCTGGGCTGGACTGAGATGCCTTTAAAAGGCACAGCCATGAAGGCTATAGAACACTATGAGAGCCTTTGGCTACAGCTGGATGAAAACCCAATCTCTGGGAACCGTCCTCTGCCAATTCTCCCATTTGGGCTGCGTTTTTAAATGCCTTCCAAATCTCATGGCTTTCTTCCTCACCTTTCTCACAGGAGGCCCTTCAAGTCAATTCCTGATGTATTTAAGTGTGGGAATAATGAAGAACAAAAACATACTTGACAACCCCGTCCTCCTTCTCCAAAGCCCTAACAGGGAACCTCCTTTGCTTTCCTGATTCATTTTCTATGGACTTTGTCACAGTCTCCGCTGAGACTCTCACAAACCTCAGCATGTGCCCTCACGCCCTGTAGGTGGAGCCTCTCGCTTTGTTTCCACACAGTTCATCTGGTCATGCGGGAGGTTACAACGCCTCCCCCAGAGGAGTCCAGACAGTGGGCTCCAACTTTGAAGGTGGAGGAAGGGGGCGCCAGGGAAACTACTGGACACTTGCAAGTGCTCTAAAGCAGCCAACTAATGACTTAATGTCCTGCTTTTCAAATACCTGGGAAAGACAGTTTTAGGTGAGTTCATGTTAATGCTGATGTCATTATACAAGAGTTTAGGACAGTTCTCAGCCTTGGGTGCACATTTAAAAAATACTAATGCGTGGGTTCCACTCCCAGAGATTCTGATTTAATTGGCCTGGGGTGCAGTCTGGATTTGGGCTTTTAAAACCTCCCTAGGAGATTCTGTTTACATAAGGTTGAGAATCACTGATTTAGGAAGCAAAGACCTGCAAGGAATAAAGACTCACATGCTGCAAATATCAGATACATCACAATATTGGCGAAGGGGTTGGGGGCCAGAGAAAAAATGGAGCCCTTGATCCCATTCAGCCTCATTTAGGTGGAACACCAAAAGTTTCAAAAGAAAAGCATCAGGATGCTTGCTACCTTGTGAATTACAATCTTTTAAGCTAGGAAGACCCTTCTTTTGGAATAAAATTTGTAAAGTATTGGTAAATATGTAGAAAAAGGTTTTAAGTAGTAGGAAAATGTAAAAATGTTTTTAAATTGGTGAGTAATGACAGTGAAATGTCCTAATTCCAAATGTAATATGATTCTACCTCAGGAAGCTGACCTCCTATCTCCCGCTTTCTTTAGTGATATCGGTCTCTTCCTCCTTAACTCTTGATTATTTTTGTTAGGAAATCACTTTAAATATAGCATTTCTTTGCAAATGTTCTTCTTCAACATCCCTACACATTCCAAACAATCTACAATATCTTAAAAGTTCAATGATCAATCTACTATTAAAAAAAAAAAAGTACCATATTAGGGACAGTTTTCCAGTAGGAAACCAAAACACAGTTTCAAAAAGCTCCCTCCCTTGCTAACCCCGCCTCCACCAAGGTGGCTTTAAATATCCTCATCCACTTCTGCCCCACTTCATTCCAAAGCTCCCTTAAACAAGACTTTTCAATAAAGACATGATAGCACTACATAGTTACAATAATTATGATCTTTTTTTTCCCTTTAAGAATTGTAGTCGCTTTCTTCTCCTTCAGTCTTACTAGGCTATTTTCAAATTCTCTGCATTCTTTTCCTTATAAGGAATATCTCTCCTTGATCTATCAGCGGCTCTTTTGAAAAAGCTAAATAAACGTCCTGCTGGAGAATTTGGGGGAGACAGACATCCTCCATTTAGCCTTACACGAAGCAGACATATGATCTACATTATACAAAGCAGACACAGAGTTATATGTGTTTTTTGGCTCTTTTTCTAAAGCCAGGTAGTTTGTAGCTTTAATGTTTTAGCTAAGTCAGTGCTTCTGTGAACCCCGTTTCCAGTAATCTTGATGTTCATTGAAAAAAGAATTTTTTTTTTTGGTCGATTCTAAATGTGCTATGTCTGGATTTCCCATTTGCAAAGCATGCTTGGAGATTACATTTTAAGCCTTTCACGCCACAAAAAGCCATTACTGGTTTCAAGGCCCAAGACCCTCCAGCAATTTGCATTTTACTCTCATACAAAAAATTCTGCCATTGTGCTTGGTAGTTCAACTTCTGGGCACAGCTTTCCCCGGTGCTCATACATTCTTGGAATTGTTACTAACTTCGCAAGGAATTCTTTCCTAATTGGGCCTCTAGCCTTAATGAGCTTCTACAATGGAATCCAACAGTGTGAAAAGAAGTCGTTCCTTTGGAAATCTAATGCTTGGCTTGACTTATGGAGCAGAAGAGACAAGCTCTTCAGCTAAAAAGATTCCAAAGGGCAATGGACAAAGTGCTGGTAGAGTTTTTGCAGTGTGTGCATCACCCCTGAAACTATGTGGTGGTTGTCAGAAGGCTGACAGGTGGGGGTGGGACAAGCAGGAGGGGCAGGGGGCAGTTAGCTCACTATACCATATAAAGCACTGAGCTATATATAACTCCCAGGGTACTTTCAGGATCTAGTGCTGTCAGACTGCAGACCCAAGCAAGTATCATCTTCCCAGGCAGATCTTAAGGGCTGGATTAAGGCTTCCCTAGTGAGCAAGGAGGCCTCAAGTGTCTCTGCACCCCAACATCAAGCTCGGCCTTCTAAGTAAAAGTAGCACCATGTCATTCCTTCAATTTAGAGACCAGGCCCTCTGTACCCTGACTAGACTCACCATTGAAAACCAGGCATTCCCACCCACCAGAGGCTGCAAAGGAAAGAAAGTAAACTAGGCATTCTGTTTGCACAAACCTTGGTGATGACACCGCAGAGGTTTTCTGCCACCAGGGAGGCAAGGTTCACCTCCAGCATCCAATTTCAGCCACTCCACTCCCAGCTTCTCACCCACCCACCTCCACCCCCAGGAGTGGGGGAAAGAAGGAGAAAAAGAGAGAGGAGTGGATGAAGTATAAATGAACGTGTGCAATAGAAGTCTGAGGCAGCATCCAGTGCTCTGGGCCATGTCAGGGCTGTGTGCGGGTGTCCAGCAGGAAGAGGTGACCCTCCTCCATTGCCCCTTGGCCATTGTGGTGACCTCAGAATGGCCACTGGGCAGGAGTTGAGGGAGATACTGTGTGCGTGCACTTACGTCAGTGGCCTTTTTCTCCGCCAGCTCCAACTTCTCCTGGGCATCTTTGAGAGCCTCGGAGTATTTGTCCAGTTCATCTTCGGTGCCCTTGAGTTTCTTTTGCAGCGACACCAGCTCATCTTCCAGCTGGGAGTTGGCCGTGAGGGACGGGGAGGGGTGGGGGTGGGGTGCAGCAGGCAGCGTGATCCCGCGGGGGAGGGGTGTGGGTGCACAGAACCAGAAGGACAGGGACAGCAGAGAGAGAGAGGGAAAGACAGGGAGGGAGAGAGAAAGAGAGAGACAGAGTTAGCCATTCGTGCGCCGTGCTGCGCCGCGCGCCCCGGGTACCTTGGCGGCGGCCTCATCCGCGGCCAGGAGGCTGTCCTCCGCCTTGTGCAGCTCCTCCAGCACCCGGTCCCGCTCGTCCTCCGACGCCCGCAGCAGCTTCTCCTTCGCCGCGATGTCGTCCTCCAGCTGGGGGGGCAGCGGCGGGCGGGCGCGGGCGGCCGGCACGGACCGGGTGTTAGACACACACAACACACGAGCGCCTGGTTGGCTGCGGCCCCTCGGCTTGGGGCGCTGCCGACTCGGGGTTCAAGGGTCTCTAAGTAACCTCTTCTCTCCTGAATATGGAACCGCACTGTGGCCCACCCTGCACCCCCACCTCCCGCGGGACGAGAATCCTGCCAAGGTCCCAGCGCGCTCAAGTCCACCACTGGGGGTGCAGAAAAACGCCCCAGTCTCCCTGGCTTTCGGGCCGTACTCTCCATTCTGTTCCATCTTTGTTCTTAGGAAAAAACTTCATGACTCGACCCCCCCCTCCCGCCCCCACCTCCACCTCCCTGCCCCTTCCCCCTGCTCAGGCTCTACCCCAGTTGAAGGTTTTATTCTTTCCAGTCAAAAGTCCAGAAGAACTTCTAACACTTTCTGGACTCGATTCACCCTAACCTACTCGTCCCCCCACTCCGGTCCAACATTGATCCCCGATCCTGAGAGTCAAGTGTCTCTAGGGGTTGAGAAGACCTCGCGGGCTCTGGGAAGCCGAGGAGGGAAATAAACGTCCCCGGACGAGACCAAAAAGTTAGCGTAAGCCTGAGTCTTGCTCTTCCCCTCCCCCTTCTCAGCTGCGCGTCCCCGGCCTCCCAGGAGTGGCGTGGTGGGGAGTGGCTCCCCTTGTCCTCGGGGTGAGCGGCCGGGAAGGGGTGCCAGGCGCTCAGGGCCCGGGGGCGCCGTGAAGGGCGGGGGGAGCGCAGGGCCGGGGAGGCGCAGACCTGCTTGCTCCTGTCCTCCGCCGCCTTCTTATCGGCCTCCGCCTGCTCCGCTCGATCCAAGGCGTTCTCCTTGTCGAGCTTCAGCATCTGCATCTTCTTCTTGATGGCGTCCATGGTGGCGGCGGCGAGGGGCCCTGGGGCTGCGGCGGGAGTGGAGAGGCGAGTGCGCGGTGGGGCGGCCGAGCCGAAGTGCGAGCGCGGAGCCGCCTGCTGCTCCCAGATATGTACTTTCCCAAGGGGGCGACCGCATTCCTCGAGACAGCCAATACTTTTTTGGAAAAGCTTTTTTCTCCTGCCCCCTTTCCCCCTCTCCTCCCTCCGCCCCCTGCCCCCGCCCCGCTCCTTCCCGCGGGGGCCGCGCGCCCATTCGCTGCCGCCTGCCGGCCTCCCAGTTGACGGTGGATATGACTATATATGGGGACCGGAGCCGCCGAGGCGGCGGCCGGGCGAGGCCGCCCTGTTCCCAAACCTGCGCGCCAGGGAGAGGGCGTCCAGGCCTCGCTGGGGCCGAGCCGGGCCGGGGCCCTGACCTGTGCCCTGTGCCCTCCGCGCCCCCTCCTCCCGGAGCCCGTGCCCTGCCGTCGGGGTCCCGAGCCGGGCCCGCCAGAGCCCCAGGAGGCCGGGGGAGCGTGGGTCAGGTAGTGGGCGCGCGTGGCCCCGGGGAGACGCCAGACCCCGGCGCTCTCAGCATCCCGCCCCGGGGGCCCCCGGAGCAGCGGCCGCGCGGGGCCCGGCCTGCGAGTTCCCCGCACCCGCGCCGGCCCCGTGCTTCCCTGGCGGCTCTCAGCTCGCCAGGTGTTATTGGACGCTCCCTTTCTCGGAAACTCAACTGGTGCACAGAAAAGGAGAGTGGAGAGGAAGGCCCGGGGCCGCTCCCGAGACTTCCTGCTGGTGCGGGTCAGGGTGTCTGCGAATCTGTCTTCTGTGTGTCCTTCTTCCCAGGGGAGGGGCAGTCAAAGACTTCAGGCACACAGGACTCAGTTGGCTTAGTTGTGCGTGCGCCTGTGTGCGGTGCTATGGCCAAGGGTAGGAAGGCGTGAGTCGGTGTGTAGGTGGGTGGTTGGGAGTTTAGGCGGAAAGAACATTGAGTTTAGACTCGGGCACCTTGGTCTTGGTTCTCCATCACCAGCAGCTGTGTGACCTTGACAAGTAGCTTCAGTGCTGCAGTTTCCTCATCTTTTCATATCCAGGGTGGGGGAGATGATCCCTGAGATGCCTCCAGATCTAGCTTTTTGTCATTCTTCTTGCACTGATTTTAGGGTGTCAGCCTCTTTCCATGTTTAGGTGCTCAGACACCAGGTTGCCGACACGTGGGCTGAGTGTCATAGCGAAGTCCTTGTACCCACAGCCATATCCCTGAGGAGGGACCAGATCCAGCTCTGTAGAGTGATCTCTGCTTGGAGGCAGGAGGATTTCCTCTCCATCTCCTACACCTCCCGGCTCCCAAGGGGGAAAAGCCTGTGCTTTTCAGAGCTTTGGTGGGTGAGGAGGAAAGGGGGCTGCCCCAGGGCCCTGTCTGATACTGGCTGTGATGGAGTTGGTGAGGGTCTTGTTAACAGTCCCCACGGAGCAATTCACAACCTGTACTACATGGATACCGAATATTCCCCAGACAGTGCCTGAGCAGATTAGGCAGGCCAAACAACTTGTAAGTCTTTCAGAGAATGATCAAGTTCCTCTCCAGGATTTTATCAGGTTTCTTCCACTAGCCCAACTGCCCAGGCAGGAAAAAATACCCTGACCTAATGGTCAGAATGTTAGACCTGTGTACATAGGAGCTGTGTGGCACAAAAATGCACCAGAACCCTTAAATCACCATGTGTCAACCCAGCCACTGGAACACAGAAAAGTTCAAGGCCTCTGGGCAATATACAGATGCATGGACCATAAGGAGCTGACTCCCTACCTTGGAGCTCTGCATAGGAGGCAAGAGTCTCGG